AAAGTGAAATTCGTCGCCACCAAATCGGGGCCGTTTGTCATCCGTACGGACAGTTTGGCCGTGAAATGGTGCCGGCCCGGCGGTATCGACGGCAGTAAATCGGTACGCGGTGTGGTGCAGTTCACGCCGTAGGACTTCCGCGAGGCATTCGTAATCAATGTCTTGTCGAGGGCAGAGAATGCGCACAAAAACTGCCCATTAAGGGTCGGCAAGTTATCGATGACGAGCTCGAGAGTCCTGGCGGTGGTGCGCTGCAGTTGGTCCGGCGTGACAGTGGTGATCGTCGTGCATCTACCACTCTTGTAAGAGATCCAGTAAAGCGGATCCTTGGCCGCGTCCTGGCAGTCACTGCGCAAGTTGCACTTGTTCTCCAACGAGCACCAGCCGCAATACGGATCCTTCGCCCCGAGGCAGTCCCAGCAGGTCTTGTAGACCGAACACTCCTGCACCTTGACCTTCGAGACTTTCTTCTCTGTCAGCACGTAAAGATGCATCAGCTGCGAATCGAATAGCAGATCCGGATTCACCGGTGAACCGGGGTCGATCTCGAGATCGCCGTACTCCAGCGCCAGCGTCGAGCTTTCCACCACAACCTGCAACAAAAATATATATATATTTTTTAATGTAAATTGATTAGCGCAGTTAATTTATCTTAATTAAATTATTGTAGGATAGTCCAAATACCAGGGAGGCGTAATTATATTGTTTCATCGGTTAAGTTTTTATTTTGTTGCATACTAAAAATAAATCTATGAATATAAGATACATTTTTCCTAGAAAATATCAGGATCTTAAGAAGGTTTTGCAATGTAAAATTTCAAATTTTATTGAGTCTGTTGTAGATCTTTGATTTTTCTGTCTGTTCCGATGCAATCTTTTTAGTATGCATTCTCATCACGTCAGAAAACATTTGACAAACGTAATTACAATATAATTATTTGTAATAATTTGAAGAAGACTGAAGATTTGAAGAAGATATCGAGTTTTATATATAAATAATTAGCTGCCTACAAAATATATAATTCGTCTGGTCGAAAATATTTCCACTGCAGCAGGGATCGCTAGTTCGTTAAAAAATCAGGAATTTACAATAATCGGCGGATTTGTGTAAAATTAGAGAGACGCAGTCATTGATGATTGCAGTTAACAGGCTTGTATAATATATTTATCGTATATATAATGCCAGAGTGCTCCGGTGTTAACGAAACGAGGATGATACGCGCGGGATGAAGAATTAAATATTCACGACGAAATTATGAACAACTGTTAGCTCGGCTAGCAGCGCGCGGGGTGAATGTTACTTCCGTTTAAGTATTTATTGGGTATTAATTATCAATATTAGTTCGGTGACGACCTCTCATTGCGTATTCCGTTTTTCCCATTCCCACGATAGTGAACGGAACATTTCCAAAAATATTTAATACGCGCAGTCCCTCGTCGACGTATCCATGCACCCATCGATTTTAATAGTAATGGCGTATAATAATCCGACTGCACAGCAACATTTGACACACGAACGGTGAATTTTACTTTCGTATTACCGAGAGTATATATAACATGAATATTTACGTTGTCGTGCACATTCGCGTCCCCGCAAATTTCCCAGGTGAATATCCCGTATATCCGTTGTCGCGCGGACGCGAGCTTCTTTTTTTTTTTGGTAACTTCAATGCTGGCTGGTGATCACCAGACGTCTAGATATAAGATTACAAGCCACCGAAAGTAATAGCGTAGCTGCAATTTGCACGCTATTATTTTAACGCGAGACTCTCAGCGCGTCACATCTTTTTCATGGACGCGCGTGGTACAATCATCTCTCTGCCAGGTGCGCTCTCGCGTAACGTTCATTTTCTTAGACCTCACCGCGAGTCTCATTCGCGGTCGCGGTTAAGGGGTCGTAAATTAAATCCCAGTCCGCGACATCCCGGGCTTTCAATTGACAGCGAAACGATGACGACGACGACGGATGGAGGTAGGTCCCCCGGGGACTAGAACCGTTCGCGAGTCTAATAAAAAGATCAGATTTTCGAATGGTAATAACAGTAATCATGTCGAAACACTTTAGCGAATCGCTTTAGCGGTGACGTTTAGCTGACGATGTAATCAAATTTACAGAATGACACTCGCTGCGCATTTGGTAATTATTACTATCATCCTGAGCTTCGTAACAGTTGTATCCTTCGTAATGGTAATGTTCATGCTAACATTGTACGACTGCGTTAACTCGGTAAATTTCTAATTATGTGCTTAACCAACTAAATTTGGCTTTTAATTTATAAATACGTAAAGTTTTTACAGATTTATTTAATTGCTTAGCTTTGTGAACTTCTTCGATTCCGTAGATTTCAAAGAACACGTTGATCCTTCTACTCTATAAGAAGTACTTCCCGAAATATTAAACTTTTCGACGTCAAGAAGCGAAATCGCACTGATATTGGCTCAATAATTTCAGATCTTGTAGCTTGTTAACGACAATGTATCGTAATACGGAAAAAGACGTGCACATTACTGAAAACGGGCAATTTTACCGAAGCAGAAATGGGAATAGTTAAGCATTCGCGTGTAATTTACAACAAATTGAATTGAGAGAGCAAAGCAAAGTTCGTGGGTAAATGCATGGCGCGCAGTCACTATTCCGATTTAATTAACAAATATTAATTAAGTCGCGTCACGCAGCGTGAATCGAGCCAACAGGCAATTTGCCGCAATTTAGTAAACATCTGTTCGTCTACTCTACAATGCTCATTAGAACAATAATTAATGCCTTTTAATAAAGGCGGAAGAATGGATTATTGCTTATATATCGTTGACAATTCCCCACAGTCGCGAATACAAACTCAGAAGTCAGACTATGGTCTGAATGAACAAAATGGAAAATCTTCAAGTTCTTATTGTAATATAAAACAGTTAATTAGAAATACTTCGCTACAGAAATACTTCTGTAGCACAGCTCTTCGAAAGTTTTACTGTATGGTGGTCTAATCATTTAATTGAAACTCGACGTTTCAATGTCAATACGTTTCATGTCAAATGATTCTTCACGTTCTTCCGGAAGAACTGTTCAACCGATTCAACTTTGCGAGACGTCGAGAATCCGGAAGAAGAATTCTAAGGACTATAAGGGCTGTCCACTACGTACCGATCAGCATTCGACCTCTGGCCGAGTAATGAGTCGTTACTTAAGACAGGCAATCACGGCGCGGTAACTATGTTACAATCTTTGTGCCTAGGCGGGATGGGCAGAAGAGAAATAACAATAATTACCGAGGCTACCGAGTGTTAGTGGTGGTTGTTAATTCTAAGGTTTGCCCGGGGTATCCGCGGCCGGTCTTTTTTAGCGTCTGATTTCGCGTTCGCGTCGGTATATATACGTTAACGCCGAGTTCGCGCGATGTTCGCGCGTCATTCGGCCTCGGCAAATCCTCAACGAACGTCGACGCACAAAGAGGCTTTAATAAACGCGCGGGGATAAAGGCAAGGTCGGCGAGGTCGAGGATGAGCCGGTAGGAGGGTTAAGAGCGAAGGGAGGAGAGACGGGGGAGCAGATAGAAATTATTTCTTAATGGAAGAAGAAGCATCGCGAGGCAGACGCAAACGCAAAGGGGGTACCTGGTAATGATGAAAAAGAAGGAGACAAGGTGTGCACAGGCAAGAGGTTCGCAAGAAAGTTGCGTGCAAACGACTACGAGCACAATAGAGGATAGATGCAAAAAGAATGACCTCAATAAAATGAAAGTAGCTATATAATAATAAAGTAAACTGATATTAAAGATAAACTTTTGGGGATAAATGGACGAGTCAGAAATGATTAGCCACATAAACGTAAAGAAAATTTGATAAAGATATAATGTGTCAATTATCAAGTGCAATAAACAACGAATACAAAATTCGGTATATCAAATATTATTAAACTTTTTATCCTATATACTTTAATTCGCGAGGAAAATAAATGTGTCCAATAATTATTCCAATTCATAGAAAACGTTCTATTCATCGAAAGACAAGAGTTAAATCTTTTTTATTCCAGATATTTTTTTTGCAATAATTTTTCTACGCAAAGTGGAGATAGGAAACAGTAGACATTACTTGATTAAAGTGTTACTTAATCAGAGTTTTATTTCACATCAAAGTAACAACTGAAAATAACTACCGTTGAACTTTTATCAAAATCTTAGTATTGTCGTTCTCCTATTTTATGTAATACGTCAAAGCGGAACTTTTTAAAGGCAAGCGCAAGGCGCAGAGGTATAAAAGAAAAAATAGCATACACAGAGGAGAAAATAAAAGAATGAAAGGACAAGAAGATGATTAAGCGCAGGGCGAGGGATAAGATATCGTCGCCTTTGCGTCTCGACGTTCAATCGATGACGTTTAAAAGCGAAGAAAATAATAATCGCGACGCTACCGCGAGGTAGGCGGACGTCTTAATTAACGAGCTGGCTTGCGCTCTCGCTTTTTCTCGCATGCGCGATTGCATGTGCATCTATCCCTTGCGTATACGTATATATCGCGTGGGCAATGCTGCCGATCGGTGCGTCGCGCGTCGGGCTGACCGATAAAAAGCGAATCGAACGTCGACATTCCTGAATCCATTTCGAGCTGAGCATGTACGCGCGTCCCACGTAAGGTGCTCGCGCATTAATGCCACGGTGAAATCCACGCCTTTAGGTTCATTGCATGGTAAACGCGACCGGGAGCGATTAACGAGTGGTGTCTTTGTCTCTATTGGCGCGCGCAGGAAGCGACGGACTGTCAGCCGATCGATATAACCAATCATTAATTACTGATAACATGTTACGGACATCGCGAGCTCAACGAATAACAAACTATATTTATTGCAAAGTTTAATGAATAGTTTCTTACGTAATTAACGAGAGCGTGAGAGCAGTCGTTATCTGCAGGCGCGATAGTCCGCAGGTGTGATAGTCTCTCTAGCTTCGTTAAAAATAACTGAGCACTAAAAATAGTTCGTGCTTCAGTTACACCGAATCATAAAAAAAAATTTTTTTTAAAAATTTATAAAAATTTGAGATATCGCAATGAGTTACGTTATAAGCATTAAATGCGGAGGAAGATATAATTAATAACTGTAGAATTTGACACGAGTCCCATATGTTCGATAGACACCGCGAGCGATCGAAGTCCGATAGAAAATTCCTACTTCGTAGAGACGTTACAGGCGACGATGAGTGAAAGGGGTTTAAGAGCGATGATCACAACAAGGACTCGACTCGAGGCACGTTCTTGAATCCTGTCAGAGTGTCTCGTGGAACAGCGACAGGGAGTAACAACAGGACGCGGGGCGCGATGCGATTAAATCCGGAGGTTACTCCCGCCGCCGCGCCGCCGTCGCGATGGATTTCGACGCGGTGATTATACGTCGAGTTACGTATGCATCCCTCCCTGTCTCTCCTCTTTCCTCCTTTCACCCCGACCGGCGCCTCTCCGGAATTTTTAAATGCATTCTTCGACGCGGTTCGCCGCACCATCGCACGGGATTTCTTCTTGCGGATGCGACGGTGAGAAGAAAGAAAAGAAGACGGATTTCCCCACCGCCACTCAACGGGATAGCGAGAGGGAGGGTGGAGGTGGC